GTGCCAAGGCGTTTGGCTGTTTTACCAACATACTTCGCATCACAGTTTTGGAACGGTGTGTTGTAGATCACCGTTGATTGTTCTGCAAGTAGAAGCAGGTTTTGGACCTCATTACTTTCTGGCCGATTGTTGACTCTGGCTTATGAGCCACACCAATCCTAAACGGTTCATGATTCTTGCTGTCGCCTCTGGCGCTTTCTTCACGTAGGTGGTTGCAAATCAAAACTTCAGGTTTTCTCCGTTCAGCCACTTAAGGTGGGGCTTCCTAAGACATCTGCATATGAACGACGCCCCTGAATACTGGACCACAAGCCGTTGCCCTGTCGGTTTCGATCGGGAATATACAGTGGTAGGGGGTGCTCACCGATCGTTTTTACGGAACTCACTCGTTCCATTGTGCCTTATGGGCTCCCTCTCGAGCCCAACCAGCAGCCGCAAAGCGCCGCATGATATAGGCAGTATGTTATTCCCGACAAAAACAAGGGAGACTGGAATGGCCATTTCTGGCTTATTAGCCGCCGTCAGCCAGTCATATTCAACCCTGAAGTGTGGAGCAATTGGGATCAAACTCGCTACTTCTTAGTTAGAAGTCCAACGCCTCTAACCACTGGCCCACGGACCCCTTGTGCTGTCGGTTTCGATCGGGAATACACAATGGTAGAGGGGGGACTCTCACTCGTCCCGTTGTGCCTTATGGGCTCTCCCTCGAGCCGAACCAGCAGTCGCACAGCGGCGCATGATATAGGCAGTATGTCATTACCGACAAAGACCAGGGAGACTGGAGTTCCGCAAGGACGATCGGTGAGCGCCCCCAACCATTGTATATCCTCTATCGAAACCGACAGGGCAACGGCTCGTGGCCCAGTGGTTAGATGCGTGGACTTCTAACTAACAGTGTGAAGCACTTGGGGATCGGTCCGGCGACCAGTTCGATGGAAGTCCTACGACTCTAGTCCCCTTGGCCTGTCGGTTGCGATCGGGACATAGTGGGCAGAGTGACATAACTGGCAAGGACAAGAGAGACTGGAATTCCCCTTTTTGGCCTATTACTCGTCGTCCGCCAGTTATTCCCAGCTCTTCTTCAGACTTGAAGGTCGTGTACAAGAACAATTAAATATTCAACCGTGTCGAACTAGTGATTCCGCGGTTGGCCGAAGCCTGCGCCAATGCGCGTCAACTGCATTTCCTCATCCCCTCAGCATTGGCTGCTCTGGCCTACAGTTGTCCTTGAAAAATTCGCGCGTGGCATCTAAATCCATGTGCCCATTGATGCATGCCTCATCTGAGCACATTGCTTTCGGGAAGTTGCGGCCATTCCTCATTGGCCAGGCGACAACGTTGCAAGTGCTCTCCCATGCAAATTGACGTCCAGTGTCCAGTGTGTGCATAGCCACCTGGGGTAGATGACCTCGTCCCCCATGTCACTCACTGCTGTTCATGTATACGGGTTGAGGCAGATTCCCTATTTTGACTGTAATAGACGACATCACAACTGGCGCTAACGATAGGGTGTAGGACTGCCAACCAACTTGAGCTAGCCTGTGGACCGTGTCATACGTTGAATGGTGGTAGAGGAGGTTTTACGGGTGGGGCAACACACTGGACAGGGAGCAAGAGGACACAGAAAATAGATAATCTTCTGCTACAAGTCTTATCACACGCTGTCATTTGGCAAAAGAAGTGAGCGCGATAACTAAAAAGCACGCAAAAGTCAATATTCAAAAAGTAGCCGCATTTCAATAAAGCGTCGCCGGCAAGTTTACATTTAGTCGGGAAGAGAAGAAAAAATTTCAAACAATGGGAACGGTAAATAATAAGTGATGTTTACAGCTGCACTAAATTTTAGGGTATACTTTTTCAGTTGCCATCTACTTGAGGGTTCTGCACCCTTTCCTTGCCCAACTGGCACATAGGGTCTTGTAGACGACACCTTTTCTATCGAGGTAATCAACCCTGTCCTTAGGAGGTGCGCAAACTGTGTGCCAAAGGTAGTTGCGGGTTGGTGTAATACTTGTATCTGATGTGATTTCAGCTGTCTTTCGACGAGCTCAGATACATTTTTCACGTATGAGAGAGTCCGCCGCGTGAATGTTTTTGGTGCCTGCGTGGCCGTAGTGTTTGAAATAGCCTTCTATTTGAACTTATTATGCTTCGTGCCATGACCCACAAAGTCACGCGAGTGTTCGTTGTGGGAAAATAATTTTACGAGGATTTTTACTTCTGTTTGATAACTTGCTTCATCTGAGCAATGTGCATTGGCTCGAGTTAGCAGGTTCTAGACAGAACTCCTCTTGTGAGAGATGGAATAATTACTATTAAAATATAGAATGGCCTTTGACTATGTTTCTTCGCATAAAGTGAAGCGTAAAGTATTACATCAGTTTTTCGCACGATGTGGCCGCTCCAACGCAGTTGAAGTTGTCTCAGAATAGCGCAGATGCTGAGGATTCCCGTTCGTTCCGATACATCCGTGTCCGGAATCCGGTCCCGCCACCTCTGATTAGATAGCGGTCAAAGACAGCTGAGGTGAAAATTCTTGAGTCTACGCGCCTGCTTCTTGTTCACCGTCCAGGTCTCCGTTTCATACAGCAGCGCCGGCAGGATGACCGCTTTGTACATCTTCAGTATGGTGCTGAGATGGAGACCGTGACGATTCCAGATGGTGTTCCGCATGCGGTTGAAGACTTCGCTGGCCTTGGAAATCCGGCGGACCACTTCATCATTCATTTTGGTGTTTCGAGAGGAGCTGCTGTCCGGTAGGTGAGGTTGTCCACGGCTCGCAGTTGGGTGCTGTTCATGTTGATTCGGGGTACGACGTAGTCAGAGTCGAGTGGCGATTGATGCATTTCCAACGTTTTCTCCGTGTTGATGGCCAGGCTGAAGTTTTCGAAGGCGGAGGTAAAGAAAAACATGCTCCTTTGCATGTCCCCTTCCAAGGTGGCGTTAAGGGTGCAGTCGTCGGCGATGAGAAGCTCATGGGCGGTAGTTGTGAATACACGCGGCTGGAAGTGCACCCGACACTGATTGAGGAGTTGGCCATCCGTCCTGTAGAAGGCGCGGATCGCGGGGCATTCGTCATGTAGGCGTCCATTAGCATGGCAGAGAGCATGAGACTGAAGAGTGCAGACGCTAGAACGCAGTGCTGCTTCACTCCATTGACCACTGCGAATGCCTCTGAGACAGCTCCGTCGTCCGTGAAGCGCGGGACAGGCGAATATCTGCATGCTTTTCCACAGTCCTTCGTGATTCATCGTGTCGAAAGCTTTCGTCAGATCCACGAAGGTATAGTAGAGGCGGATCCGAATCTCCTGACACTTCCCCTACAGGTGACGGGTGGCGAAGATCATGTCAGTGGTACCACGATGACGGCAGGAGCTGCACTGACTTTCCGACAGGAGGCCCTGTTCTAGATGGTGTTTCAGGTGGTTGAAGAGAATGCGAACGGAGATCTTCCCGCGATGCTAAGCAAGGAAATGCTGGCAATTACCTTTACGCTTGTAGAGATGAACGTTTTTGGCGTTCGTGAAATCCTGCGGATTTCTTCCCCACGACACGTCTGTTTGAATAAGCGCTGTCAGCTGATCTATATGATGGGGCCTGCCGCAGTAGTAAATCTCAGCAGGAATTGCGTCTGATCCGGGCAATTTCCCGTTGAAATGTTGTTTCAGTCCGCATACCCCTGGATCTCCTCAGCCTCCTTGAGATTCGTCCATTCGTCTTGCATCTCCCGCAGCCGATGTTGCAAAAGACGGCGCCGACTACGGTAGAAGGCTGCTTTGTGGTCGTCGGGAGGGCGGTTGATGTGGGCTTTGTGTGGGCGGTTCTACTCAACGAGCAGGTTGCTGATGGCGTCGTCGTTGTCTACGAACCAGTCCTGATGTTGGCGACGTGCGCGACCAAGGGCAGCCAGGGCGGTCGTCTGGACTGTGTCCACTAATTGAAATCATCGGTTCTTCATGGAGGCGTCCTCGTCAACCGTCGAGGTGCGACTGGGAGTTTGGCTAGCCGTTAAAGTAGCTCATTACTGAAATGGTGATGGTGAGCGGGCAGTGACAAGAAAGCAATATTCATTTTACCCTGGGGCCGCTTACCTTGAGGTCTTCTGCAAGGCTATGGGCGAATCGTCGTCTTAGAGATGAAGATACGATGGTCGGTCCACTCGTTGGAAACCGGGATCGTCTTTGTCACCAGCACGTCCCGCTGGTCTGGCCTCCAGACGAGGACATAGCCCAGCAGGTGCCCCTTACGCGACCGAGTTTGCATCCAGGTGGCTTTCTTTCGCATCGGGAGGCGGAAGAAGATGTCGGTCAGGATGAGGTGATATTCTGCACAGGTTCTTAGGAGGAGTAGGCCATTGTCACTGGAGCCGTGGAAATCATGGGAACCCAACATTCCTCTCCATGCTGCGTGGTCTGTGTCGACGCGGGCGTTAAAGTCATCAAGGATAATCAACTTGTCCGCCTTCGGCGCAGTTGCCAGGAGGGCATGAAGGTCCTCGTAGAATTTGGCTCTTGCGGCGTCAGGGCTGCTCATTGTGGGGAGCGTAGGCACTGATGATGGTGGCGAATTTGCCTCGCCAGAGAGACAGGCGGAGGCTCATTAGGGGATTGTTGTTGTCCTGAGGCAGACAGGGCAGTCGTCCCAAAATGTCGTTCCGGATGGCGAAGGCGACACCCGCATCTCGTCGCTCTGCGCTGGAACGGCCGCTCCCGCAGAAGGTCTAGCCGGCTCCCACATTCTCCAGTGTACCTTGTCCAGAGAACCGGGTCTCGCTGGGCGCAGCACTGTCCACCTTGTTGCGTGCTGGTTTCCGAGCCACTAGTGCCGTCCCTCGTTCCGGTTGGTTGCTCCTCGGCTTGTCTGAAAGGGAATGAACGTACCAGGCTTCTAGAGTGAGCGGACGGGCGGATGAGAGGAGAATGGGAGAGAGAGAGAGAGAGAGTATTGTTTCTTGTTTGATTGTTTCGACCGCGTGTTTTGCGTCTGCGAGTAACGGTCAGCGCCCAGAGGACGTAATCACAGCATTTGTTTTTGACACCTTTTCTAGCCCTGTCCCCCTCGCGGGGGTGAGCAGTGCTCTCCCTAAATAGGACTGCTCAGCCATACCGGGCGGATACCGCTCTCCACTATGGGCCAGGGGGTTTACTGAGAAAACAGTCATTGGCCTGGACCGCCTAAATGATTGCATGTCGTCCTCGCCTCTGGGAGAGAAGATCATTGCAGAGAGTGGAGAGCATAGGAGGGAGGGTGGGAAGGGCGGAGGAGAAGGGAATCAGAGAAGCGGGAAGAAGAGCAGACAAGAAGGGGGTGCGGGGGGCGGAGACTGGAGAAAAGATGAGAAGTTATAGGAGAGGATGAGTAGAAAGGAGAGGAGAAGGGGTGTGGGGAAGTTCAGAGGAGAAGGGGGAGCAGAATTACTGTGGGAGGACGTACACACACGGATCACCTCACCTGAACCAGCCGGCCGGTGAAGCGGGGTGTTGCCGGCAGGCACAGTCTAGCTTCGGGGAGCCACACGTGAGCTTGCGACGATTAATGGACGCTAAGCGTAGTCAACACCTGCAACCAAGTATGCGACCTATTACAACCTTCACGAGCACCCACAACTGAACACCCCTACACCCCGGCCGCAGTGGAATACTCACTTTGGGAGCCTTAAGAAGTCAATATATCTTGGAAATTGTGTGTTTGTCTTGTTTTAGGGATTTGGCAAAAACTCTTGCGATTACCCTCTTCCCCTTAGGGCACCTTAGTGTTTTTCAATTCGTGAGTTCTGTGATTTTGTAGGGCCAGCATTCAGAGGTTCGTAGGTGACATCGTTTGTTAGCAGCGACATCATCTTCTCTGTGTAATCGGTTTTGTTCAGAATGGTGGTGGAGCCCCCATCGTCGGCGGGCAGAATTATGATGCTCTCATCTGCTTTAAGTAGATTTAGTGCTTCCTTTTCATAGCAAACATATGTTGAAAACTTGTTTCTGCTTTTCAGGGCCTGTACAGCACAGTTAGGAATTGTAAGTTGTTCCTCCTCTGTAAGAGCTGCTGAAGTTATAGCTGTTTCGAAGTTGGCATGCAAGTTCAAGTAGTCGGGGTCAAATGGATTGTATTTCATTCCTTTATTCAACACGTTCTGTTCGGTTGTCGTTGGGGCTCGTGATGATAAGTTTGTAACTTTCTTAGACCTAACATTTTCGCAGAAGTCCTCATCCATTTTTGTCTAAAAGGCTTCTCTTTTAAGTCGCTGTAGTTCTGATACATGCGTGATAGTTTCCTGTAGAGGTTTGAATGCTCAGAGAGGTCCTCCGATGCAAAACTACATATACTGTTCTTTCTGTTCTGGTAATCTACGACGTCGGTGGTGCGCATTAAGTATGAATGCACCAGGCATCTGCTGGCCACACCAGATCGCAATTTGATAGCATTGGGTTGACTTTGTCACAGGCTTTACCCGTACGGACTTCGTAAATCTTATTACGTTAGCATCGGTGTAGGAGAGATAACTGTTCACTCGTCAGGCTTTAGAGAATTGCACATTTTTTCCATATTCGAGTGCAAAGTAAAAAACTGTTCTTAAAATTCATACGTATAGTTGGTTATCTAACACGTGAAAGGTGTCGAAATTCACGAATGCTTGCTAATCACTCACAAGCCGACACCAATGTGTGGACCCAATGTCCATTTTAATAAAGGACAACTTTAAAAGAATTAAAGCATAAAATTAATATAAAAGGCAGTCTGGCGTTGTTTGGAAATATCAAAGTTTTTAAAAAAGCGCAAAATTCCGAAAAAGTCAAAATGGTTGCAAGTTAGTAAACTCCATTTTTAACTTCACGAAATGTCCGCGCATGCAAAATACTGAACAAATATGAAACCACAAATAGAATGCTAAAAAGACAGTGTTATTTCAAGTATGGCGGTTTGCCGACAGCCTACATTCTGAGCATAGAGTCCAAAATAGTCTTCCGAGGATTCGTCTCATTCCTAATGCTTTTTAATTGATTTGGATGCGGTTCAATAAGGGAAACAAGATTTTGCGTGATTTCGCCGATAGGCACATCATAAGAACAAACGTTTTCATAAGCTCATATCCCTCCAAGTCACTCGATAACTAATAAAGAGAGGACAGGTGTAATCTCAAACATACTATTCTGTGTTTATGAAGAGAACGTTTCTTCCGTAAAATTAGTTTGTACTTTCGTTTGTTCATGATTACATTGAGTTTTAGATCGGCCTTGAAATATCACTGAATACTTCAAGATTTCAATGTTTACATTCGACTTCCCATAAAGACAGATTCTGTATCATTTTTTTCGTCAAAAACTTTGAAATAAAATACAACTTGAAGGCATTTACCGAAGTTCAAGTGTTTGGACGTTTTTTATCCTGTAGAACGTCGTCTGGGCCACATTAAAAGACTCACGAAAACAGAAGACCTCAACATCGAATAAAATGAACGTTCACAACAAAAGCCAATAACGAATATGCTGTCGATCAATTAGAAAACATTCTCTGATGAGTTACCTTTTTAAGGAGTGCATTCCGTTGGCAGATGTCTGCGTATTTTAATTTTTTATAGTGAGACCAAGAAAAAAATCGACACTTTTGCCGATTTTTACCGTAAACGTAAGAATGTGCCCTTTTCTTTATATTTCGTCCGTTTTCGTCACCTTTTCTGACTTTTAAACTTCTTTCTACGATTATGAATGCACGGCAGCGTGGCTACATAAATACTGATATTGTGTTCGTTCCATTTCTAAATTGCGTCTGTGCAGAAGCTAGACTACACGTAATGTTTCATGTGTTCAGGGCTGAAAATGACAGTTCGGTGGTAGTCGTGCCTGTGACAGAAAGTAGGATTGCCCAAAAGGCAAAACACTTTCAGCCCATTTAAACGAAGGATTGCTTGTGTGCCTTATTACAGCACTTCAGGGCACCATATCTCACAGACCTGCTAGCATGACTTCTAAAAATCGATGAAACACCTAGTTCTCTCAACATAACCCTTGCGTTAGCAAGCTGACTGCCACGGTTAGCCTCGGACGAAAAATCAATTTTCACTACGGCAAGGTCTGTTAAGTAAAACGCTCTGGAGTGAATTATAATCCCCTCAAAGAAAAACGTGCTCAAATGCGCGACCAAAGTCTAGGAAAGGTATTAGCATAGTAAAATTGCCAGAATATATCCGAACGTCCATTTTCGCTCAAATTTATGAAAATTTTCCATGCTAAAGTCATCTGGACACAGTTTCTGCGAAAGAAGAAGACATTGCCTTGAAGAGACTGGATGAGCAAGCAAAATGGGCAAGGTTTAAGACGTCCAAAAAGTCTCACATCAGCTTCTGTCACCAGCTTCCATGAGATAGGTCACGCACCGTATGCAATGCAAGGCGGACATTCCAAGAAAAGTAATCTGATATAGGTGAGATTAGCTAGGAGTGAAATACTTTTATTGCGTAAGTTTTCGAGACTGGTTCCCGAGTTCGCCATCAGACTTATGAGTCATTTACAAAAACAGTTAACTATTTAACCGTGTCGAACAAGTGATTCTGGGGTTGGCCCAAGTCTACATTTTAAGAGGAACCATTCCGTCTCTCACAAAAGGAGTTCTGTCTAGAACCTGCTAAGTCGAGCCAATGCACATTGCTCGATGAAGCAAGTTATCAAACAGAAGTAAAAATCCTCGTAAAATTATTTTCCCCACAACGGACACTCGCGTGACTTTGTGGGTCATTGCACGAAGCATAATAAGTTCAAATAGAAGGGTATTTCAAACACTACGGCCACCCAAGCACCAAAAACATTTACGCGGCAGACTCTGCCATACGTGAAAAATGTATCTGAGCTCGTCAAAAGACAGCTGAAATAACATCAGATACAAGTATTACACCAACCCGCAACTACCTTAGGCACACAGTTTGCGCACCTCCTAAGGACAGGGTTGATTACCTCGATAGAAAAGGTGTTGTCTACAAGACCCTATGTGTCAGTTGGGCAAGGAAAGGGTGCAGAACCCTCAAGTAGATGGCAACTGCAAAAGTATATCATAAAATTTAAT